TTTTTTTTTTTTTTTTTTTTTTTTTTTTTTTTTTTTTTTTTTTTTTTTTTTTTTTTTTTTTTTTTTTTGAGATATTTAATCAAAAGAGCTTTCACCAAAGCATTGAGAGAAGGATAATCACAGCAAGGATTGCAAAGAATACACATATTGGTTGTAGGTGGCAATTAGGATGTCTCTCTTGAACTTCTTTTATACCACCTCATTTCCATGCAAAATCAATGACTGACTATGAGTCTGTGGTTTCTAAATAGCAACTTTGCTCCCAATATCGACTAAATGATTTTAAATATCAGCCTAAATTACACTTAAGCTGTAAGAACCTCAGTAAAACCAAGAACATAAATATCACTAACCTGATCATCCTCTGATACTACGCCAGAAATTTCAGACTCACCGTCCAAAGTCGAAGAGCTATCGCTTTCACTCCCAGGAACCAGTATGTTACCAGAAGCAGCAGTTGAGGTCGACAACACGGAATTAGAATCGTAAGTGGACTTGGTACCAACAATCTTCCCTGTAAACAAGGATCAAATCAACTCCATCTACAGAAATACAGTGTAGGTAATTTCACAAGTACGAACTAAAGTTCATTAACCACTAAACTGTTCACAAGTTCTCTTAACAAACAATGGCTCAAAATACTTCCCGTAGTAATAACCAGCCAGAAAAATCTCAGCACACAACGTACACATACAGCCAACACTGGCGATCCAATTTCAATCATACAAAAAACCTTACAAAGCATACAAACGACATTTTCCAGCAAAATTAATCAAAAATACCAGTCAAACACGAAAATCAACACGAGCTCCAGGAGTCTACATGTCAGCAAAGAATTAAAGTGTTATGAAGAAGAAAAATGCAAAAGTGAGGTGAGTACTAGCAGACGATTCCTTCCTCATGAAGAGAGATAGCGGCATCTTCCTGTCGCCATTGAAAGAAGAGTCGGAGTACTTGCAGAGCGCCGGAACTGCAGGGAACCGAATCCCTGGGATCGTATAAACCATTTTCCGACGAGAGAGAAAGCGGTGGAGAAGAAGAAGCGGAGAGGATTGACTGAGAGGAGGGTGATGAACTGCGTGAAGTTAGAAAAAAAAAAGTGTATATTCAGTGAGCATTCAGTATTCACAGAAATCGGAAGGAGAGGGAAACGAACGGCGCGAGAGAGAAGAAAGAGGAAGGGAGATTTTATGACACGTGGACAGTCACGTCACGTGGGTCTACACCATTCGATTTCTTTTTTTTTACTACAAATTCCAGTTCTCCCTGATTTCGCCATTATAAAAATTAAATCGCCATAATAATAATAATAATAGCATTTTTTATCTGATAATTAGAGATTTAAATTTATTAAAATAATAATAATAATGTTTTTGTCCCAACCTTAAAACTTATTTGTTAATAAATTTAAAATTTTCGAATTCTTATTTAATAATGTATATTTTAATTAATTGAGTATATTTTATTAATTTTATATTTTATATTTTTAATTTTTAAAAATCTTAAGGTCAAATTTGGAATTTCATACGAAAAAAGAAAAATGGTACAAAATGAAAAAAATGAAAAAAATGAAAAAAAAAATATATATATGGTTTGGGTAAAATTTGGACAGTTTGATGAGGCAAGCCACGTGGGTACGACGTCGTTTTGTGGAGATCAGAAATGAAAGGCTGTGAATCTAAATCCCTGACGGTATGCGTGTCCCCTCCTTTCTTCCTATCCTCTCTCTCTTACTTTTTTATATTTTAATTTTTGCATTCTCTCTCTAACTTTAAGTTATATTTTTATTTTATTTAATAAAGAAATATATATTTTATTCGTTTCTAAATGACTCATTAATCAAAGTAAGTTTAATGTTATTATAAATTTGTTAGATTGCTTATGGAATGATCAACAAATGTACTAATTTATTATAATTGTCTAATTAATTTAAAATTATGATACAATAATAACATATTTTAGATTAATTTTTATTTACTTACCCCTAGATTAACATTGTGACACTGCTATAAGAGAGGGTACATGAATGATGTTGAACTACATTTGAATGAGAGTTATTATTCCTTTCTTTTCGATGGCCCTTTGAAAATTTAAGCACATGATTTAGGACAAAACATGTTGAAAAAACTCATGTTCCTTGGTGAAAAAGTTTAGGGTTTAGGGTTTAAAAGCTTACTACTAGTAGATAATGTATCGCCGTCAAACTCATAATTTTCACACCGTTATAAAAAATATTTTGTTCTCCTCTCTAACCGATGTGAGATCTCACAGTTGAGTCGAGCATAGCTCAGTTGATTAGTTTGAATGACTTCATCCTCGTACATTGTTGAACAAGAATTATCATCTTATCAATCTGTCAACATCGACAAATAAAAGCAATTTCACTATTTTATGTCATTTCCACCATTAAAGAAAATTCAATACTTTAAGTGAAAGTACAAAATTGAATAAGTTACGAGAAAAACAAACCAAAGTACTGAAACATGCTAAAAGAATGAAAAATCTCGATGAAATTTGATAAGGTACTTTTATCACCAAAAAAAAAAAAAAAAAAAAAAAAAAAAAAAAAAAAAA